GAAGTCTGCTTGAGAGCTGATGAGTCATGAAGCCTCTTCAATGTGCAGAGACTAGATATTAATCAGTAGATGACATTTGTGAAATATCAACTTGGTACTGTCAAGGAACAGAACCAAGAATACATAAAGGCCTCCTGCAAATAAAGAAAGAGACAAGCCAATAGAAAAGTATATATGTATAGGCACTTCACAGGCAAAGAAATATGTATAGTTAATAAATAAATGACGAGATGGCTCAATTTCACTTCTACTTAAGGAAATGCAAATCAAGACCACAGTGAGATAACATTTTATTGTTATAAAATATACATAAATGTTACCATTTTAACCACTTCAAAGTATACAATTCAGGCGCTAAGTACATTCACTATATTGTACAATGATCATCACTATCTAGCTCCAGAACTTTTTCATCACCTTAAGAGGAAAGCCCGTATCTTTAAGCATCCGCTCTCCACCCCAACGTTCTCCCACGTCATGGCGACAACTAGTCTCCTTTCTGTCTCTATGCGCTTGTCCATTCTGGGTATTTCATACAAATGGAATCTACGATACGTGGTCTTCTGTGTCTGGTTTCCTTCGTTTAGCGCAATGTTTTAGAGGGTTGGCGAGGTGGTGGTATGCATCCGCATCCATTCCTGTCTATGGCTGCGTGATACTCCATGGTATGGCTGTCCTACACTTGATGATCTTTCCATCAGATGGAAGACATTTGGGTTGTTTCCACCTTTTGGCTATTGTGAATAATGCTACTATGAACATTAGCAAGAGAGCATTTTATACTTTTTGGGCAAAAAATTAAGAAGTAGATAATATCTAAGCATTAGATATTTAGGGGTATGCTGCTGATGGGGATGTAGATTTGTTCAACCCTGTTGGAAAACAACTTGGCATTATCTTTCAGAATTGAACACCCACATCTCTATGATCCAGCGATATCACCCCTAAGTATATATCCAAGATAAACGTTAGCATATAAGTACCGGGAAACAGATATGAGAAAGTTGCACTCGTGTTCCTAAGAGGAAAAACTTGAACCACTCGAATGGTCACGGAGTTCTGCTATAAAGCGAAGGAAGGAAATGGAGCAGCAGCGGGGGTTGAGAACTGTTTTCAAGATAGGGAGAAACAGCATGTTTGTATGCTGAAGACAGATTCCACGGAAAAGGAAGGGGGTGGGGGAAGAGCTGCTGGAGAACCTGATTTGTTTCCTAGTTCTGGAGGGTGTACTACCCTCCAGTTCTAAGTTTTACCTATCCTTCACTGGCCCTTTCTAAATGGCTGGATCAAATAGGGCACTTCAGCTAAATACCCAAAGGATGTCTGCTGTGCTTGTCGTAGCTCCTTTGGAGAATTTGATTGGCCCACTATGCATATCACCACAGAAAGCCGATCCAATGTACCATGTGCCCCCGTTCATAAATTATTATAAGGCAGTCAAAATGAATTGAGTTACAAGCGAAAGCATGGGTGAATCTTAGTAACAAAAGGTTGAGTGAAAAAGGCAACTTGAAGACTACATGCAGTATAATATCCTTTTAAAAATGTTTAAATACAAGCAAAATGAAACAGTCTGTTGCTTAGACATACCATATATGTGATAACATGAGTGCAAAAGTACAAAATTCGACAGTGATTATTACCTCTGGGAGAACCGGAAAACAAGGAGGAAAGGAACACATCTAAACCACTGGTAATCTAGTTCAGTGGCTCTCAAATGTTGGTGTGAATCAGGATCGTGGAGAGCTCATTAAACCTAGATTGCTGCCTGGCTGGTGTGGCTCAGTGGTTGAGTGTCAATCTTCAATTCCTGGTGGGGGCATGCAGGAGGCAGCTGATCAATGATTACCTCTCATCATTGATGTTTCTCTCTCTCTCCCTTCCTTTCTGAAATCAATAAAAATGTATTAAAACACTACCACCCTGACCGGTTTGGCTCAGTGGATGGAGCGTTGGCCTGCGGACTGAGGGGTCCCAAGTTCGATTCCAGTCAGGGGCATGTGTCTTGGTTGCGGGCACATCCCCAGTGGGGGGTGTGCAGGAGGCAGCTGGTTGATGTTTCTCTCATCGATGTTTCTAGCTCTCTATCCCTCTCCCTTCCTCTCTGTAAAAAATGAATAAAAACATATATAAAACAAATAAAAACAACAACACCTATATTGCTGGGCCCCAGCCCAGAGTTTGATTCAGTAGCTGGGGTGGGAGAGCCCAAGAATATGCATGTCTAACAAGGTCCCAGGTGTTGCTAATGCTGCTCTTCTGGAACATTTAAGAGACCCACTTCTTTATTTTAAAAATTTTTATTATTGAAACTATTATATCTGTCCTCCTTTTCCCCCATTGACCTCTTCTAGCCTGCCCTGCCCCCACCCCAGACCCTCACCACCCTATTGTCTGTGTCCATGGGTTATGCATATATGCATACAAGTTCTTTGGTTGATCTCTTC